ATTATCTATCCATCTATCCGTCAATCTCTCCATCCATTCAGAATAGAATGTTCAGAGGTACCACACTACACAGGCAGATGGGCAAACTGGTCCTTCTTTGCCAGCTCTGCATAGATCCCCAAGGCAATGTTATGTAACTAAAGGTAAACGTAAATGCAAGAGGAGTACACTGGATAGTGTAAACATACAGCTTTTAAAAAGTAAATTGTGGAATAAATACTTAGAAAGTGTAGAAGCACATTTTATTCAGAAATACTGTGCGTATTATAAGGTGTTCATATGTACTTTAGAGTGTGCTTTGCTCACTTAATCATCTATCTATAGTATCTATCTATCTATCTATCTATCTATCTATCTATCTATCTATCTATCTATCTATCTATCTGTCTGTCTGTCTGTCTGTCTGTCTGTCTGTCTGTCTGTCTGTCTGTCTGTCTATCTATCTATCTATCTTATATTTCTTGTATCCATATTTATTCATCTATTGATTATCTATCTATCTACAGAATCCATCTATTTGTACTTTTTTTTTGTCTATCCTGGGGTTTTTTTCTCAGAAAACAGGAATTGTTTTTGCCCCTTGCCCACCGCCAAGCTCTGTTCCTTCGTTCCATCCCCTACCCACCACACAGTACCACACCTTTAACTGCTTCCCGCCCGCCCATATAGTACAATGACAGGCGCAAGGTGTTTTCTCTCGTTCTGGGAGGATGTCATATGACGTCCTCCCATTCTAACCGCGCATGCGCGACTCCGGGAGCACACAGCGCGGCGATTGGCAGTGCGCTGTGTCCCTCGGACACAGCGGATCACACGATCAACGGAAAGAGCCGAAGATTTCGGCTCGGTTATGTGATCAGCTGTGTTCAATTACAGTTGAACGCATGTAAATAGGGAAATGCTGGTTATCGGCATTTCTCTCCTCACGAGCTGTCACCCTGACAGAGGATAGGAGAGGAGAACCGGTAATCGGCATCCCTCAGAGGGGACATGTACACTGATCATCAGGGCACTGATGATCAGTGTGCCCTGATGATCAGTGTAGCCCCAGCAGTGCCACCTGTCAGTGTCCATTAGTGCCATGTGTCAGTGCTCATCCATGCCACCTGCCAGTGCCCATCAGTGCCACATCAATGCCACATTTCAGTACCTACCAGTGCACATCAATGCCACATATCAGTGCCCATCTGAGCTGCCTTTCAGTGTCACTCATCAGTGCCAGTCAGTGCCACCTCTCAGTGCTGCCAATCAGTGCCACCAATCAGTGCCAGTCAGTGCCGCCTATCAGTGCCATATATGAGTGCTGCCTTTCAGTGCCCATCAGTGATGCCTGTCAATGCCTATCAGTGCCACCTACCAGTGCCTCCTCATCAGTGCCCATCAGTGCCCATCAGTGCCCATCACTGCAGCCTCATTAGCGCACATCAGTGAAGGAGAAAAAAATCACTTATTTACAAAAATTATAACAAAAACTAAGAAATAACTCTTTTTTTTTCAAAAATTTTCAGTGGTTTTTGGTTTGTTTAAGAAAAAATAAAAAACCCAGAGGTGATTAAATACCACCAAAATAAAGCGCTATCTGTCACAAAAAAAATGATAAAAATGTCATATGGGTACAGTGTTGCATGACCGCGCAATTGTCATTCAAAGTGCAATAGCGCTGAAAGCTGAAAATTGGCCTGGGCAGGAAGGGGGTATAAGTGCCCTGTAGGCAAGGGGTTAAAGAATACTGAACCAAGCATCAATTTGTATGGCAAATATTAATAACAACAAGAAAAGCAGTAAAATATATCCCCTGCAGCCAGCAACAATGGACCCCCCAGCAACAATAGACCCTTGGCAGCCAGCAATAATAGACCCCTCCCTCAACAGAAGATACTTCCCAGCAACAATTGACACCCCATTAACATAAGACCCACCCCCTGCAACAATAAATATCTATCTATCTATCTATCTATCTATCTATCTATCTATCTATCTATCTATCTATCTCCAATATATAGGGGTTAGACAAAAAAATTGGAAACGCTACATGATTTGCAGGTGTAAAAGTGACAACATGTTTTGTGTTGAAGGCGAAAGTGATGTAACATTCTTTTCTTCCACTGTGTGATGAGACACCTAGCTAACAGATGGGAAGCCTCACTGCCTGCACTGCTAGAAATATGTAATAATGTCAGAGCTTACTTCAAAGAGGGCAAATTGTTGGTGCTGCTTAGCTGGTGCTTCTGTGACTGAAGTTGCCAATTTATTAGCCATGTCACGAGGTACAGTATCAAAGGTTATGACGGCATATATTGTTTCCGGAAAAAACGGGTTTGATCAGCATAAGCAAAATTGACATGGTCAACTGGACAAAAACAGACAAAATTACAAAATTACAAGGATTGTGACCCAGAATAAGAACACAACTGCAGTAAAAGTGACTGCAGGGCTCAATCTCAGTCCTGTGAAGACTGAGTACCATGAAGACTGAGATTGAGCTCTGCAGTCATTTTTGCAGCAGTTGTTTTCTTATTCCGGGTCACAATCCTGCGCAATGTGCTTTTGTTTCTTTTGGTCAGTTGACCATGACCATCTCTTGTATCATGACCGTAATCTTTGACTATATTCTGTTGTGTATCTGCTGTCTCTTACACTGAATATTCACATAATTCTTTTGTGTGGCCCTTTGGTGGTTTTGGGGGCTGAACTTGAGGCCTACCATATCAAGAAAGTTGACTACCAGTGATCTACAGAATTCATCTGTTTATTCATCTATTCTGGTGATCATATATGTAGCACTGCCCCCTTAGGAGTCACTAGATTTTTGGGTCCCCCTATAGTCTTGCACGGCCAGGCAGTACTCATTTTCTCCAGGTCTTGCACACAGGAGGCAGTAAGCAGTCCTTGAACGTGTTTTTTTTTTTTTGGGGGGGGGATTTTATTAGGGGATAACTTGGATAGGAATGAGGGATGTATGGGATTCCCAAGGGAACTGCAACTGAGTACAACTTCCTGGAACTATATACAAGTCTTTATACAGTAAAATCTCTTCTGGGAGAGTTATCCAGCCTCTCCTGGCGTACCACCCTAGAACCCAGATAATCCTCCTCTATCCTGCTCTCTGAAGGAAGTCCCGGGCAAGGGGATTCAGTGTTTGCCACTTTAAGATGAACAGTCCCAGGTAAGGAGCTAATCAGTTTCTCCATCAGAGTGTTCCTTTCCCCTTTAACTGGCCCAGGGGGTGTAGGATTACTCACTCAGTGTTTTTCCTATGGACTTTTTGGGGTTGGTAGCTGCTTTCAGGCCTTCCTTTGGGCTGGCTCCTTTTCTGCTGCACAGGTGGTCCTCACTCTGGGGGCCGATGAATCGTGAGCTTCCTCCTTTCCAGCACTACTGTCTGGAGGTGGGCCACTTCCCAACTGAGCACCCTCCCAGGCTCCTGTACCTCAGCCTTCTCACTCCACCTTCCACCCAAACTCTCCTTCTACTGAGCAGGTTCTAGTAAATTTAAGGGCTGCCCTGGCCCCATGTCAAGCCTCCTGCTCTGGGATTGGCAGGGTCCCCTAAGTGTGCAGACCAGCTCTTCTCCAAGTCTCTAGATCAGGGGGAGGTTTCAGAGAGCTGGTCTGCAAAGCCTCTCAGCCTGAAGCAAATTTGACCCTTTGACTATTGCCCAGGCTGCTATTCAGCCTCTAACTAAAAAAAGAATTATCTAGCTCCCCATAGCTAACTAGGAGGGTGCTACATATAGATAACTGATACTGAAACATTGGGGGTGAATTACTAAAGGCAAATAGACTGCTCACTTATTAAAGTGAATTTTGCATTTTGCAAAGTGAAGCACTACTGACTTCCATTGTCCAATCACATCCAAGCAAAAATCCTGTTATTTTTGTAAAATGTTCCTGCACAGGACTGGGTATTCCTTGCAAAGTAATTTTCAACACATTCATTAGACTACGTAAAAATTCCCTTGCAAAGTCAAAGATTCATTTTGCAAAATGTACATTCTGTACTCCTTTAGTAAATCAAAGTTATTATATCTCCTGTTTATGTTCGAAAGGACTAAGGCTGGCCATACATTATACAATTTTCTTTAGAAAATTGCTTTAGATTTACCAAAAGCCATATAATATGAGGTCAAATCTAAACAACACTTTCAACTGTATCCAATTAGGTAGGCCCTTGCACTACATAGTTAAAGGTAAATGTAAAGGAAATTGGACAGAAAATTGTATAGTGTATGGCCAGCCTTAGCTCTCGTTACGGCACATAATTCATGTTAAAATTGTATTATATGAGTCCTTTTTAGATCTCCTAAAAAGAATGTAGTGCAAAAGACTGCCTGGTTCAATACTGATTCATTGTATAGTTTGGATGGGCACTCACATCACATAATTTAGGTAAATCTATAATTTATTACATGGTGATGCCACCATCATATCTATTGATAGGTAAGCTGCAATATATGACATTTTTGGTATGGGGTTTAGATATGCTTTAAGCCATGTAAGGCATTGTATAAAAAATAGAAAGTGGAAGTTTCCTGCCAGTCTTTTTGTTTGACATTATTCTGAAGTGTTCTATAATTCAGAGCTTCTGGAATAGTCACAATGCAGAATGATGCACTATTCCCATATGGGCACATGTTACACAGTTGCAGCTATCTACAAATGCATCCAGTCTGTGTTAACTCTCAATGCCTGGAAGGCAAATGGAAAGGACAATGTAAAATCTGGTGCGCTGATCTGTAAAATCCCTCTGGTGAAAGGAAAGCAGAAGGTGTGGCCCCTCATTTCTCCTTTACTTTTCTGAAGGGATGTTATATAACATGCTATAATGGATATGGCCAGATAGAAAGATAGATGGAAAGACAGACGGGACGGACGGGACGGACGGACGGATAGATAGATACACTATATTGCCAAAAGTATTGGCACACCCCTCCAAATCATTGGATTCAGGTGTTCCAAGCACTGCCATGGCCACAGGTGTATAAAATCAAGCACCTAGGCATGCAGACTGCTTCTACAAACATTTTGTGAAAGAATGGTTCGCTCTCAGGAGCTCAGTGAATTCAAGCGTGGTACCATGATAGGTTGCCACCTGTGCAATAAGTCCATCCAGGAAATGTACTTGCTACTAAATATTCCACGCTCAACTGTTAGTGGTATTATAACAAAGTGGAAGCAACTGGGAACAACAGCAACTCAGTCACCAAGTGGTAGGCCACATAAAATGACAGAGAAGGGTCAGCACATGCTGAAGCGCACAGTGCGCACAAGTCGCCAACTGTCTTCAGAGTCAATATCTAAAGACCTCCAAACTTCATGTGGCCTTCAGATTAGCACAACAACAGTGTGTAGAGAGCATCATGGAATGGGTTTCCATGGCTGAGCATCTGCAACCAAGCCTTCCATCACCAAGTGCAATGCAAAGCGATAGATGCAGTGGTGTAAAGCACGCTGCCACTGGACTCTAGAGCAGTGGAGACATGTTCTCTGGAGTGACGAATCATACTTTTCTGTCTGGCAATCCGATGGTCGTGTCTGGCTTTGGTGGTTGCCAGGAGAACGGTACTTGCCTGACTGCATTGTGTAAAGTTTGATGGAGGGGGATTATGGTGTGGGATTGTCTTTCAGGGGTTGGGCTTGGCCCCAACGTTCCAGTGAAGAGAACTCTTAAGGCATCAGCATACCAAGACATTTTGGACAATTTCATGCTCTCAACTTAGTGGGAACAATTTGGGATGACCCCTTCCTGTTCCAACATGACTGCGCACCAGTGCACAAAGCAAGGTCCATAAAGACATGGATGAGTGAGTTTGTGGTGAAGGAACTTGACTGGCCTGCACAGAGTCCTGACCTCAACCCGATAGAACACTTTTGGGATGAATTAGAGAGGAGGCCTTCTCATCCTGCGACCCAGGGCTTCTCATCCGAAATCAGTGCCTGACCTCACAAATGTGCTTCTGGAATAATGCTTAAACATTCCCATAGACACACTCCTAAACCTTGTGGACGGCCTTCCCAGAAGAGTTGAAGCTGTTATAGCTGCAAAGGGTGGGCCAACTCAATATTGAACCCTACGGACTAAGACTGGGATGCCTTTAAATTTCATGTGTGTGTAAATGCAGGCATCCTAATACTTTTGGCAATATAGTTTAGATAGATAGATTGTAGATGGATAGATAGAATGTAGATATATACATATATACATACATATAACATAGATAGATACATAGATAGATACATATATACAAGCAACGCACATAGATATATATGTAGATACATAGATAGAGAGAGAGAGAGAGAGAAATACATACATACATACATTAAACAAAGATAGATAGATAGATAGATAGATAGATAGATAGATAGATAGATAGACAAACATAGATAAATACATAGATACATAGAAGACAGATAAATAGATACATACACACAGAAATACAAGATAGATAGATAGATAGATAGAATGTAGATAGATAGATAGTAGATAGATAGATAGATAGATAGATAGATAGATAGATAGACAGACATAGATAAATACATAGATACAAAGAAGACAGATAAATAGATAGATACATACACACAGAAATACAACATAGATAGATGGATAGATAGATAGATAGATAGATAGATAGATAGATAGATAGATAGATAGATAGATAGATACAACGCAGATAGATACATACATTCATAGATATGAAGACAGATAGATAGATAGATAGATAGATAGATAGATAGACCAAATCACTAAACTGTATAAGTTCATTATATGTTCTCTTTCCAAGATAGTCATTTGACATATGTATACTGACAATTTAACCCATGAAAGCCTATGTCTGTCAAGAATTAGCATTTCATCCCATTATCTTAAAGTGGAAAACATGGAGTCCTGCAGGTTCGCTCCCTCCCCCCAGACCTGTAAATGAGTTATAAGTTTTTTTGGGAGGGGCGCAAGTGCCTTTTTTTTTATTGGTACCCACTCCCGATTCCACAGTTCTCGTCTAGGTGAGGATGCTGTCTCTTGCCCCACCCCCTACCATATCCCCCTGGTACTCCTCAGCCCCCCCAATACTTACATGAACCTGATCTCGATCCAACAATGAACATGAGAGCAGCAGCTCTCACAGGTCATTTCCTCCCAGGGGTGGACTGACAACTCATGGGGCCCCCGGCAATAGGGTATCATGGGGCCCCTGTGTCCTTGCCCAAACTCAAAAAAGCCTATGAAAAAGGTACCAGGGGCATCTCATGGGGCCCCCTACTGACCCCAGGCCCTCGGGCAATGCCTGAGTTTCCAAATGGTCAGTCTGCCCCTGCTTCCTCCTCATTTGCTGAGACATAGCAGCACACCATTGGCTCCCCCTGCTGTCAATCACAGCCAGTGAGAAGTAAGCGGGGGGTGGGGTCAAGCCACACTCAGTGTGTCTTATAGACACCCAGAGATGACTCGGGAGCAAGCACGCATGAGTGGGGGAGGGGGGGGAGGAGCCAGGAGCACCATCGGGGGACCTGAGAAGAGGTGGACTGGGGGGGATGCTCCATGCAAAACCATTGCACAAAGCAGGTACGACATGTTTGTTATTAAAAAAAATATCTGATCATTTAGTATCACTTTAATATATTAAACATCACATGTAGACCCCCATAAGCACATCACTGACCTGATCAGCCTTTTTTAACACAGGGAACCCTTGAAATAACTTCTCAATGAACTTCTGATAATAATTACTAGATTTACATTTCACAGTACATTAGTGTGGTGGTTAGAAAGAATGGCCTTTACATTGGTGGTCAGTGCAAAGAATGCTCCTTAAATTACTGGCCATTGGGAAGAATGCTCCTTCCATTGGTGGTCAGTTGAAGAATTCTGCTTACATTGGTGGTCAGTGGAAAATGCCCCTTACATTGGAGGTGAGCGGGAAGAATGCCCCTTACATTTAGAGTTAAGTGGAAAGAATGCTTTGGTGGTCAGTGAGAAGTGCATTGGTGGTCAGTGAGAAGGATCCCCCCTTACATTAGTGGTCAGTGGAAGAATGTTCCTTACATTGGTAAACAGTGGGAACAATGACCCTTACAATAGGGGACAGTGGGAAGAATGCTCCTTATGTTTAGTAGGAAGGACTTTCCCACCTCCTTATAGATAACTAAAAGATGAGTGGTCATTTATCTGAGAGAAAGAAATTGCACAATGCTCAAGGAACCCTTAGCAATCTCTGGAGTAATCCTGGTTTAGAAGACTGCACCATGTTATGTGAGGGTGGGGTTAATATTGGGGTAAATGGAAATATGTATATGTGAATTATTTTTGCAATTGATTTGTCCTTTTTGTACTGGAAAATCAAATAAAAGTTTAAATTAAAAAAAAGAAGACTTCACCATGTTATATGACCTCCAAATTTTAGGTAGGTCATATCAGTCATGACTTTATAATCTTCTCAGGCTGTCTAATCCAAACTCAACAATGCATTTCAAAGTGTCCCATATATTTCAGTTTACAGTTCACAACTCAGCAATCATAAAGCTCAGAATAAATTATAATTGTCCTATAGCATTTTAATTTTTTTTCTTTCACAACCCTCCTTTTGTCTTTACATTGATTTATCAGTATTTAGAAAAAAGCAAGGCATCATTATCCTCCGTAACTTCCTCTGTATCCTCTCCTGTAACTTTCACACAAACAGTATTCCATGTATTAGAACGGTAACAAATAAATTAGTTATTTTTCTGTTGAAACCCTTGTCCGTGCTTGGTCTCGCCTCATCATCTGCCTATCAGCGGTTTTATATTAGCAGCTCTTTGAATGCATGCATAAATTATGGAGCATAGCGAACAACAGTTTTACAACCAATTATTCCCGAGCCGCGTCATTTGCAAACCTTACAACAGGGAACAATGATACACACACAAGTGATGCCAGGTTAAAAAAAAATAGACGGTCAAATGCCACTGAACACAGCTTGGTGACTGTGTGTCTTCAGGCTGAAAATTCCAGATTTAAATGTCAATTGATACAACCATTTATATTCAGCCCGATAGTCTACTGGGTCTAACCTGCCTTGCTGGAGAGCACCTGCATCTGCTGCTCCAAACCTGCGTGAAAATAAACAGCAATTCCGGGCAGCAATGCAAGTCAGGAAACATCACATCTGCTTAAAGAAAATCTGTATAGAGAAAAATATGAAGGCTACCATTGCTGAGACTGTCTCCATCTGAAAATGCTAATGGCCTGGCTGCCTGTGGCTTCTAGATTTTCAAGTGATTGACCCAGAAGTGACATCAGTGCCCAATAGGCATACTGTACTTCTTCTGGGTCAATGACTGAAAAAGTACTGAAAGCTTGACTTCAGGAACTGAACTCCTCTGGACATCAGATATGGATACTTACATCAAGCCAATCTGGACTAATACCAGCATAGAAAAATTATCATTCTTGGAGGTCATCTTGAAGGCAAAGGATCAGCATAATGATCAAGTAACTAGCATTTCTAGAAGAACCAGTTAGAAATGGGGCATTCTGTAATTCTTCACTACAAGTTGACCGACCCAAAATTGGTAAAAGCATCTCTAATTAACTAGCATTTCTAGAAGAACCAGTTAGAAATGGTGGACTCTGTAATTCTTCCATTACAGGTTGACCAACCCAAAATTGGTAAAAGCATCTCTAATTAACTAGCATTTCTAGAAGAACCAGTTAGAAATGGTGGACTCTGTAATTCTTCCATTACAGGTTGACCAACCCAAAATTGGTAAAAGCATCTCTAATTAACTAGCATTTCTAGAAGAACCAGTTAGAAATGGTGGACTCTGTAATTCTTCCATTACAGGTTGACCAACCCAAAATTGATAAAAGCGCCTCTAAACTGCCAACCTTTACTTAATTTAGGCAATACAGAGGACCATTGGCTAGGCATACAGCAAGCCAAGATGTCAAATGTATTAGATGAATTCCTGGACAATAGTCAGCCACTCATCAGGAGGGCTATATGACCACCTGAGCCTTGTTGACATACAATTGCTTGAAAGTACTGATAGATCAATAGATAGATAGATAGATAGATAGATAGATAGATAGATAGATAGATAGATAGATAGATAGATAGGTATGGGGTACACAGAGACAAAGAGAAGTTCAGGAATCTTTAAAAATGTATACTCACCTTGGTGGATGCAGCATCTATCCCCCACCACTTCTAAGACTGAGAACTAAGTGATCAAAGACCGCTAATCGCTCTGTTCTCAATCTTCACTGAGCAGAGAGCAGTACTGTAATTATCAGTCATCAGTTCTCTGCTCTGCCTCTCCAGCGCTCACTTGAGCACCAGGCTGTGAAGGGGGTCGGAGGGGCTGGCTCAGGCTCTCAGTGGATCGATGAGAGACTGAGCCAGG